CTGCGTCCACCACATTGTCTTGAATGTCTCGCTTTTTGGCGCTCTCATTCCTTAGCCTCATGCTGAACCAAGTTGCCTCGCACAAGCTCACCTTCGAGCCGTCTGTTGATCCTCGATCAGCCAAACACTTCATGAGAGTCGACTGCGCACCCGGCCGCCGCCCAGCTCGGACAGCGGCGCACCTGCCCACCACCACGAGTGTTATTATCAAAGTCTGGACCTTTCGCACCGTCGACTTGACGACTCTAGTTCGGACGGAGTAAGGAGTACACTTTCACGGTCACCGGTCTGCTCCATCCATCGGTCAGATACGTTCAGTTGGCGTCAGCAGATAGCCAATCTGGTGCCTCCCATTCGTCTGGGCGATAGGAATCCCCCGACTCCCCCAGGCCCCGAGCTTTCCACCGATTACGACTCACGTTAACATTGCCTCCCCCAATCCGACTTGGCCCACCCCCACGACTTCTAAACAGGGGGAACAACGGCACTAACGCACCACCGCCATCTGACAGACTTGAGGAGAACCGCCCGGCCGGCACCCCCGCAGAACCCGCCAAAGACGGTGACTTCAAGGTCTCATAGACGACAGACATTCTAGGAACTATGGCTCGCGTCTCTTCATCATCAGTGCAGGCCGCCTTTGCATGGTTCAACTTAGTTCCAACATGCCTTACTGCATCGGTGCTTTCTTCTTCCTGCGAAAGACTGGCAATAGGGTCTTATTGGTTGCCAGCTTGTCTTTGTCTGTACGTGGCTGGCTGCCGGGCATGAGGCTTTGGAAGCCATGGCGGTAGCCTTTGACCCAGCAAAGCCAACGACAACATGTTACAGCTCCAGCTCGACAGAGGTTGCCTTTATGACATCTGATCATATACATCGCGTCCACCAAACTGCTTGCGCCGCGTCGTACGAGTTCCTCTATTACAGCAATAGTCGAACTCGGGGGGTCTGCTGTTCGTCTGATCTGGAGATCTTAGCCGAGCACAGGTCAGTGCCGTCTCGAGCTTGCGGTCACAAGTCTCCAATGGGGAGTTCATCTCAGCTCATTCAGGTGGGAGACGGTACCTAGAAGCGAGGTTCGAGAGCAGCCTAATCCTCAGTGTGCCTTTGCAGTACGGTTCTAGATCACACCGAGATGAATCGTTGTCGAGAAGTATTACCCCGTACCAGACAACGAGTTCTCATGACAGCAACTCTTATGCCAGCAGCATATCTGTTATGCGTCGCTTGGCATCCACGCATGTTAGTCGGGCGATAGCTGCGATCCACAATTCGGCATCAGCATACTGTGACAAGTCCAGCAGATGGGCCTGTCGAAGAAATAGACGTGTTGGGAGGTGTTAACCTGGAACACGTCGCAACCAGAAAGTTGGGCGAGGCCGCAAGAGACACGACCCATGTCCCAAACGGGCCTCGTTGCTTCTCCTTATCTGCCGGGCCCAATTTTCTTCATGTACGGAAATTGCTGAAGATACGATGACCAACGCGCCAACGCAACTTCCGCAACGGCTGCCAGGCTTGCACGTGGAGTGGGTTTCTTCTTCTCCATGTCTAATTTCTATTGCATCTATTCATCCGACCCATGGATACAATCCAAGAACTAATGTCGAAGAACTCGCCTTGGCCCCATTTCGTGGTCGTGATCGCACGGACAATTGAGAATGGAAGAAGCACGAAGTCGCTACAAAGACTGGGACTGGTATGGTGTTGGAAACCACCATTTGGGCTCCGGGCGTACAGAACCTCTCAGATTCGGACTATACCTTACATCTCTGACACACGTCGGTTATTCATAGGTTGCTCGTAGCCTCACACACCCGTCTTCCCACCATCACCACCGCCGGCGTTTCGCACCACCACTATCCACTTCGTCCGACGGCTGCAATCCACTCAATAAGCCGTGACGACTCAGTCATTCCATGGCTTCGGGACGGCGGCGGCAATTGCGGCAGCGGGGTCCCCAAGGCAATCCTGGGACGACGGCACAATGGTATCCACACTACCGGACGAACCCAAGCTACCGATCACGGGAGAAGCCGAGTTCCTCGCTGCTCCTCCAGCCTCCCCCAGTCTCCTTCAGCCCGGGCGGGGCCGTGCCGACGACGGGGTGTCCGCGACTCGCCGGGCGGGCGCGCTTCATCGAGTCGTCCATCGGTTGATTCGAGACTGATGGTGAACTAAGGCAAACCAAGTGGCGCTCAAGCCTTCCCTGGGTGGTAAGTTGGAGGAAACCGTCTTGTCATCCAGACTTACGCCTGATGCCGTTCGTTGAGGCAACCCATCGAATCGCCCACTTGTTAGAGAACCAAGTGTGCGGGACCCTGACCGCTTGAAATTTCGCCGCGTCGAGCCGTAGCCGGCAGACCCATGTGAGCCTTCGTCAGGAACGCCAGCAATGTGCCAATTGCTTCCTCCTGGTTGGATAGTTAAAGCATCGATGTTTGCGATTGACACGAGGCAGCATCGCACCCACCCTCTCGTCGGGCGGCATCCGACCTCCGCAATCCCCGGTAATGGCACCAGGACCGGTGCGGGGAAACGACAGAACTTAATCCTGTCCCTGGCTCTCATCGACATTCAGCGAGATCATCGTGATCCTGAGCAGCCAGGGTGACCGAGGTCGCGACTCGCCAGTCATTGGCCTTACTTTGGCATGACACGAACGGAATTTGGTCCTCTCACAGAGCTCTCACAGTCCACAGATGGCCACCAGAGGCGGTCAAGCCCACAACTGCTCCCCGGGGAGCCAGCGATATTGATGCCGTGCGCTCGATGGGTCACATTCAATTCGAATCGCGACGTCACCGATCTCTCGGGACCTAGGGGGAAACCCAATCCCGCGCAGACACGGAGACAGCAACAAGGATAGGGAGCTTACCACGCACCGCAGACTCCTTCCTCCTGTCGTGGACTGGACCTCACCGCTAAAGAGTACAGGCGTCCACTTGTGGTTTGCGAGCGTATGGGCGACGGCGACCAAGTCATGTACTGCAGCGCTAGCGCGTGAGTAACGAAGTGAACCACTCAGCCTTCAAGCGCCCTGTCGTGAGTCGATGTGACGATGCTTACCTTATTCCAACGATGTGACGACGGCGAGAGTGCCTACCTGCCCGGAGAATTTGACGCCCTGCAGCGGCTCCTCGACGATCTCTGGGGATGGCGTGTCAGGAGAAGTATCATGTCCTCAATTTGCAGTCTGCTTCACCCCGACCCGTCGACTCTATGCGCTAATTAATTGCAGAAAAGTATCTTTTTCACTGGATCAGGTGCAAGTAGAATAAATGTCTGGAAAGATGGCGAGGCGAGCAGTGGCACCGTGACGATGATATCCGTGCAGACCCGACGTCAGCCGGCAGGGTGTTTGGTAGCAACGGCCGCTGGGACTGTCCTGGTGCCGGATATCGCCCGGAACCTAAGGTAATCAAGCTGGTTCAGGGGGAGGATCCGCCGGGCAGCACGGATGGCTACTCTATGGTCCCACCAGTATGTTCAGATGTCTTTGGCAAGGTTGGCTTTGGCAGCAGCGTAGGTAGGTAGTTGCGAATCAGTTGCTGGCTTCTGAAGGCCCTTCTGGAATCAACATGAGGGCACCGCAAGAGTTCGCCTCTGGCAGCGCGTATCAAGGAGCCACTCTCGCCTGATGATGCGGGCAACATGCGTACTGTACATCATCGATCAAGCAGGTGTAGGTGACACGAGTTTCAGTGCCGGAGTAAGCTGGGGGACTGGGCATCCCGGCCAATTGGGACTGGCGGTGTAACTGAGGGAGGAATGGCAATCGACTTGATTCAAGGCGTTCCGGATGATTACGGACAGCAGCGAGTTGGCCAGCAGCATGGCAATGTCATAGTGCGGTAGAAGCAATGCCGGGTAGGGCCATGTCGTGAGGGTATGATGCACCTCGTGCAACGTGCCTTGCGAATCAGCTCGGGAGATGCAGCACTGCCGGCCGTGCTGCTGTTGGTGATGATGGTTTTCTACAGATACACAGACGCAATGTGACACGACAGGCCATTCTGGCAGGGTAAGGAATAGGGACGGATAGGTAGGATGGAATGGGATAGGATAGGATTGGGAGAAAGGGGCCCGGAGAGTAGTAGTAGAGTGAGGACGGGGATTCGTTAGCAAGAGATGGAATACGTGGGCAACGATGCGAGTTGTTGGAGTCGCAGCTGCAGGTTTACCTCATCTGACGTCACTGGAGAGGAGCAGCGGGCTGGACCCTGCATATCGCCCCAAGTTGTGAAGCGAGAAGAACAAGGCCCGTCATTGGCTGCTTGATAAAAGGTCCACTACGACTACAACGCTTCCTTGGATCTTTGGGGGACTAGCACCGCCGGCAGCGCTCTTTCCCGCCGAGGTGCGCTGTACCTACCGTGCTACCTAGGTAGTCTCCCCCCTCCCGACCTCGCCTGGGAGGCACTGGGAACCGGTGCAGTGTGCTTCGCATTCCGGACCGGGTGATTCTTCAACACAAGACAAGGTCCCCTTCTCTTGCTTAGCACCATTTCCCCATGCCTCACAGCCTTCAGCTGCGGTACCTTACGGAAACTCTGCCCGCAGTATATTTCGCAGTGTGTGTGTATACTAAGAAAAGTAACCCAACCTTCCATGTCTAGGGCATTTCGTCGTATTACTCGGTACCCGTATAATACCAAGACAATGGATAATTCCCGCGACGTGTGGTAGGCCCGTTCAAGTTCAACGGTCCAACGGCTGACTACCGGTAACAAACATAGTAGCGATGGTACCCTGTTGTGTTCAGCCCAGGGCAGGGTTCCACTGCATTCGTCTTTGATTGTCATTTCCTGCAACAAGGGCAATGTTGGTTCGCCCTTTAGGATTGTTGGTCATGAACCGCCGTCAAACCGCCATTCCCATGCTTCTAACCTTCTTTCTCCTCATGCGCTGCGCATTTCTCCACGTTGCCTTACTCGGGCAGTTCGTGCCCCATCAGCTACTTTGGTACATACCGTGATACCTCATCTCAACTGTCCACTCTTCGAGTCTCGCGTACTCCTGACTTCTCTTTCTTAGTGGCCCAAACGTAGACACACTGGCAAGCTGGCAAGCTGGCACCTCCCAGTGAGGCGAAAGAGGCCCCCCCTCCTCCCGCATCCCGTTCCAATGGAACTTGTCTCCTGCCTCCCAGTGGACGACGCACGCGACTGGACCGGGTCCAACTCGCCAGCGCCAGCAATAGCCCCCCCGCAAAACACCAGCGGTCAGCCGATCCTCTCTGGCGTGTGACGCTATCCCAATGCCCCTCGAGTCTCGTCTCATCTCAGGCCTGCCCACGGAGCACCTACGGCCTGCAGTTCGCCCCCTTCGCTGTCGTTCGTTCCTTTCGTCTATCGTCTTTCACCACTCTTTGATTGCTTGTCTTTGCTTCTACCTTACTCCTATACTGCTCCTTTACCAGCAAACCAGGCAGACTAGGCACGTACCTAGCCTACCCACCCACCTTGACATCCACCTCACCCTTTTCCCCCCAGCCCTGTGCCTCGACCCATCATGACCACCTTTGTGACTATATACCATTATATACACCATCCGACCTCCCCTTCTTCTTCCCTCCCCCCTCGACACTACTATCCTACTTATTCTTGACATATGGCTCACTCCCGGCTTTGATATCTGCCCACCTTGCCACCTTCTCCTGCTAGCACACATCTCCCGCCACACCTTTACATTCTCTCACATCCTCGCACACCTTCTGCCCTTTCCGGCCTCCCAACCGACGATCTCGAACAATAATGGGACGCTCTCACCGCAGAGGCCCTGACTACGACCTGGACCCTTACGAGCCTTACGGTCGCTCTTACGACACTGCTGCAGACCCCTACGCTCAGTATCCATCTCGTGGACGCAGTCCTGGTCCTCGTCGCCGCAATAAATCAGAACCTGCCGCACCCCCGGCTGCCTATGACAACTATCAACGCGAACAACGCGAACCAGAGCCTAGGGAACAGCCACGGGAACACCGCGAGAGCCGTAAATCACGCAGGGACGCCGTCCCGGAATCCTACGCTCCCCAACCAGAACAGAGGGAAGATCGAAAGAGTCGCAAGAACCGATACTACGACGAAGACGCCTATCAACCACGGGCACGGAGCCACGGCCGCTCCGCCCGGGAACCCCCCGCCACTGCTCACCACCGTACCGACGACGACGCCTTCGACGCATATGCCCCCGCCTCTCGCCGCGGCCGGGAGCGTCAGCATGCCTATCACCCGCCCCGGACGAGCGACACGAGGCGCTCCAAGTATGCTGACTTTGACGCCGAGCCTCGTTATCCCGACAGACGCTCCCGTTATCCCGACTACGACGATGTTGATCCCTATAATAACGAGTCGCGCCGTTCCAAGAATGATGGGCCACGCGAGAGTGATAGACGGCGTTCGCGCTACGCTGACTACGAGGGCGTCCCCCGCGGCAGTAGCGAATCAAATCGCGGTCGTCATGTAGATTACGAGGCTGATCCCCGTTCGAATCCGAGAGGATATGCCGGTCACAGCCAGGGTGGCCGAGGTCGCTACATGAATGACTCGCCTGAGCGGTATGGCCAACCAGGTGGCGGTCAGCAACGCTCTGCCAGAGGACGGTCCATGCCTAGAAAAGGTGCAGCAGGTGGTACCTCTGGTACAGCTCGGCCTCGAGCCAAGTCAGCTGTTGGTTACGCTGCGCTGGGTGAAGCCGCCCAGACAGCCTTTAGAGTGGGAAGTCAGGCAGCTCTCCAGATGAAGAGTGAGCCCGGCCCGTGGATAGGCGAGAAAGGTACGCGGGTCGCCACGGCTGCTCTGGGCGCCGCCCTCGTGGACACATTTGTAGGTCACAAGGCCACAGGCATGAAGGGTGGCATGCGCCATCAAGCTTTGCGCCAGGCATGCGAGATGGGTATTCGCAACTTTGTCGTCCAACCTACTGTGAACACGGCGACCCGACGCAGTGGCAGTTGGGGCGGCCATGGCACTGGTAGTGGTGGGGGTCAGAGCAGCAGTGGGAGAAGACGACACTGATCATATCGAATTATCGATGTGTTGTCCATCTTATTTGAGATGCTACTTGAAATGTGGTTGGGTTCCGCGATGCACATCATCCTGTTCTATATCTTCCCGAACATACCAAGTCCCTCCTCTGCTTTCTTTCCTATGGCTTTTTACTGGTTTTACGGGGGCGGCGTTATCGCATAAAGTGCTATCAAGAAGGCCCGAATTTTTTTTTAAAGCTTAGAAGCGGCATGGCAGCATGTTAACGGTAGACGAGTAACGAGTCTCAATGAATCAAATGACGATGAAAATTACAACACCATGGATGATGAGAAAAGCTCAGTCATTCGCAAATCTTCTTCAACAGGACTATTCTGCCCTTAAATATACCAACAACAACGCATCTCTCCGATTTCATGCTGACATTCGACCCTGTCATCAACTGAATATTGAAAAATAAAAATAAAAACACGACAGAAGTCATTTGGTAAGATGCCAAGACGATGTCAGGTAACAGCTTCGGCACAACTACCGAGTACAAAGAGGAGGGGAGATGAAAGCGATGGGAGTTACTTGAGTTCCAGTATCGCGTCGGATGTTTATATCACCCGAACGCAACCCTCGCGCAAATCTGATAGCCAACACCGCAGAGCAGCAAGTGTCAAGTGATGAGCAGGTTTATTCATGCTTACGACTTGCCATGCAGGATATACGTGGGTTTGAATCGTGAGTGTGAAATAGATGGTATTAAATGAACAACCAGAGTACTAAGCTTCGACTAGTTACTTGAAGATTTGGCTTGAACGACAAGCAGATCCGCCTTCACACCAGCTGTAACAAAAACACCCGCAGCAATACCCAGACAGTCCTTGATATCTTCAGACACCTTGGCGGACGCCTTACCTTCAGTCGCTTTTACAGCACTCCTGCGACCAAGCACAACCAGGTTGTGCCAGGTGACTTCTCGTGTATCTGTCCTGACGCCTGATGCGGCATAGCTCGAAGCAGCCTCTAGGGTATTCGAAGAAGAAGAAGTCTCAAACTTGATGCGCGATGCTACATTGGCAGGTACATGCGTTGACACGAATCCGAAGTAGTCACCCTCGTGAGATTGAGAGTCTCCCTCGGCCGTCCCGACGAAGTGTACTACGGTCGCTTGAGCGTTGTGCTTCTCGCACAATTGAAGCACCAGCTTGAGGGCAAGCTTGTCATCGTTGCCGCCAAAGTATGGCATGAAGATCTGGTGGGACTTGTTTGTGACGGGAATCGTCGGGATATCATGATGGATGTCGCTGAATGAGTATGCTCGGGATAGCCTCTTGCGGTCGCTACTACCGTCCAAAGTAGGTTGAGTAACACTACCCTTGGGGAAGAAAATGCCAATGTTGTGTTCCGGGGAGTCGAGGATTGACTTTGCGAAACCGGTATATGTTGATCCAAGCTTGTTGGAACCGTCTGCCGACAAGACCTGGGTGTCGACCAGGCTGCCACTCTCGCTCCAGGGGACGAGAAGAAGGTCGGAAGAGATATCGGAAGATTTGGAAAGGAGAGCTTCGGCAAAGCGAGTCTCTGGCATGATCGATACCTCCCCAGAAACGGCAACCCTGATCAATTGTCCCACAGTACGGAAGATGTTCACGACAGGGTCATTGCGACTAAAGTCGTCCACCTGAGACACGGTCATGACGGAAGAATCACGATCCGTAAGATGGAGTAGGCGGAAGCCATGAGCCCGCACAGCTCTAATACCGTTGGAAGAGCCCAGCGCCACAGTGTCCGACGTCATACCGCCCTTCTCGTCGCGTTCAACGAATTGGCCTCCCGAACCGTACTGCTTTCCAAACAGGGAGACCAAGTTGAGCAACGCAGGCATGTTGTCCAGTCGAAGGTACACTAACAGGCGCTGGACACGATCGTTAGTCGGCTTGGTAAATTCATGGTCATCGGTCGATCCGCCGTGGCTCGAGATGGGTTCACCAGTGTCCCAGTCAATCTCACCACGCTTCCAAGCCTCGAGCTTCTTCTGGTACCAGCGAGGGTACAGGAAGGAGGTTAGAGGAGTAGTTGCGAAGGTGGTCAGAAGAGCCATGACAACGAAAATGGTAAATGTCCTGGTGCTCAGAATTCTAGCCTGTAGACCGATGTTCTGCATTCAATCAGCATCCGTCCCCCATCCCATGTCATCACGGAGCTATGCTCAAACAAGAGCTACTTACAAGGACGATCAACTCAACGAGACCTTTGCAACTCATCAGAGCCCCGATGGAGAAAGACTCTCTCCAGACCAGTCCGTTCAACCGAGCAGCGAGACTGGCGCCAATAACCTTGGTCAAAAAGGCGGTGAACGTAACAGCAATAACGTAGCCCCAGGCGATACCGCTGTCAAGGAGACCCAGGTTGGTGTTCAGCCCAGAGAGCGTGAAGTACAAGGGCAAGAACAGAGCACCGATCAAGTCTTCCAACTTTTCAGTGACCTTGATAGCAAAGCCGTTCTCACGTGGCAAGATAAGGCCAACCATGAAACCTCCGAAAATTGCGTGGACGCCAATGATACCAGTGAAGAAAGCCGAGGCCAGGGCGATCAACAGAATAAGCGCAATCATGCTCTGCGAAGGTCCGTTCTCGATGTTGCCAGTTCGACGTAAGAGCCAGACCAAAGCTGGCCTCACAAGGTAGAACAGGAATAACATGTAACCGACACACGCGAGAAGAATCCAGAGGGCTGAAAGACCCGTTCCGGCGTTGGCGAGAGCGACACATAGGGCAAGGAGGATCCAACCTTGGGCGTGTTAGTAAAACTCAGCCTAACGTTTGAAGATGCACCGAAGCGTTACTCACCAACAACGTCGTTCGCAACACCAGCTGAAAGCACGATAACACCGACAGAGGTATCAAGGAGCTTCAATTCGGTCAGGATACGGCACAGAACCGGGAAAGCCTAGAGGCGATGTGTTAGTCGGGTGATGATCGAAACACGACGGAGGGGCCCGTTTCTTCAGGGTGATTTACCGTGATTGCAATAGCAACACCGATGAACAGCATGTAGATTGGGAAGTCAATGTGCATGACACCCTCATCACCAGAGAATTGATTGTAGAGACCCCATGCGAGGGCGCAACCGAACGCAAAGGGTAGAGCCAAGCCGGCGAATGCTACTGAAGTAGCCACTCGCCAATTACTGACGAGGAAGCGAACGTCTGTCTCAAGACCAATGAGGAAGAGATAGAGGACAAGACCGAGATTGGCTACCAGCGTCAAGTTGGGGATTGATTCCGTAGGGAAGATGGCAGCGCGAAAGCCGGGAATTCGGCCCAGCACCGAGGGCCCCAGAACAATGCCACCAATAACTTCGGCTATCACTCGAGGTTGCCGGATCTTGGACAGAGGCCAGTGGAGGAGGTGGCAGACTATAATGATGAGTCCGGCCTAAATTGAGTGAGTGACACGAATTAGCATTTTGGCCAGCGCTGAAGGTGGAATGCGAAGCCAGAGGGAACGAACCTGGATGATGAATATGGTGATGGGATCCTTCGGATTGTAATGCGAGGGGTTTGCGCCCTCGATAACACCACCCTGCGAGGGAGCTCTGTTTCCGCCGGTGCTTGTAGGCGCGGCAGACGATGTAGCCGTCGCCGACAGTATTGATGTGATAGAGGACATGTTGGCGGATTGGCTCAAATTCCTGTGCTTGCCGGTGAACGGGCTACTTCCCGATGCAAGGAATGACGAGGCGACCAAAGACGTCTGGAAGCGCTCGACTGCGCTCTCCGATCCGAGTCGATTTGACCTTTCGTGATAAGACGGAACGGCAGACGATACGGGAGAGCCACTTCTTAAATGGAATTGCCAAGAAGAGGGACACCGTCCAGGCTGTGAACACTAGCAATGGGTGGAGGGGAAGCAGGCTTAGGAACTATGGCCAAGCCAGTCGCAATCGGTCCCGTGATATCGGTAGGCTTTGCATGTACTAATCTGACATGGTGAGCGCGGGTTGTTCTGCCTATGTTGTTTTCTCCCTGGCCGCAGCTGCCACAGGAATTGGAGTTGTTGGTAGTCGACCACTTTGGTTGGTTGTACAAGAGAGTAGCAGATGGTGGTGTTGGAGCAAGTTAAGGGTTATGGTCACTTGCCTTCCCGGCGGATTTAGTTTGCGACACGTGAAGATGTTTTGGAGGGGGGAATGTGGAGGGCGGGGAGTGCGAGTGAAGCAACGGTTTGTGGAGGTGGGCAGGGAGAAAGTGTGAGACTAAAGTGCCTCACTGCGTGACTGCGGTAGCTAAGCAGAGTTGGGGTGGAACCTGCAGGCGTGGGAAACGGATTTATTGGTCTACCCTGATGTGAAGGGAATGCAAACAAGAACGAGATTGAAGCCAGGCCCAAGGATGTGGGCTGTCACTGTCAATCGTGGAATGGTGGAATGATTGCGATGTTGAGGTCAAACGCCTGGGGTACCACTAGGCAGGGTGCATGCCTGGATGCAACATATTACACTAGGTATTTCCCCCCAAAAATTACGATTTCGTTCCTACTCTGTTACTTTCTTGGAAGTCGCTCATTACTCCCCACTTCGTAAGAGGAAAGGATCATAACAATGAGGGGATGAAAGAAGAACAACGTTTGCGTGATATGCTAACCGGGGGGGCTTACGAGTCATCCATCCCACCGCCTCTTATCCCATCCTTGACCGCACCTCATCAACATCAAGAGAAAGCACAGACAGAAACGAAGACACCAGCACGATATCGCCTCATTCATCTGGCATATCAACATTTCTGGCACCTCACGGATCACCTAGGTTGCGCACTTGCGGCTGGCACTTCCATGGCATCTAACATGATGTTGCCCGGACCGTGGACAGAGCGCTGTGGATAGTGCAGGGCCCAGTGGATCCAGACTCCAACCAGAGTCCAGGCCTGGCCTTGTTTATCTCTCCGTCTCCATGGCGCTGCATGCTGACCGCCAGTCTACAGCGAGTCCTTGAACGGCGTGAACGAATACCTATACCTACAGGTTTTTAGCTGCAAGACCTGGAAGTTGGCGTTCGTATTGTATTCTACAGGCGCAGACGTAGTACCTCCAGGAATGAGGTGAACCCCCCACACAATGGTTGGTCGTTATGGAGCACTCGTACATACACAGTAGAGATAAACCTATCCGTGGAATTGGAGAAGGTGGAGAGACGCGGGGATCAAGAGATCATCGGCTGATTGGGCCACCAATATCCGTACCGATACACTAAGGTACTGAGCTGAGCTGCACGCGTACCCAGCCCCCCGGGCTGAGTTGAGCCACCACCACCTCAAGGTTTAGAGCGGGTAATA